GAATACGGTCAATCACCTTAAAAACAGACTCTTATAATTTCCACAGCCTCTATAACTCATGTATTCTCCCCCACCACCACCCACCTACCCATATTGACATTTTTGTAATTTTGTAGACATGATATTTTTTGGTGGCTAATGAACCTTGTATTTCCCCTTTTCAGGTGATGCCTAACCATGTTACTTTTGTTGGAGTCTTAGTGGCGTGCTCTCATAGTGGTTTGGTTTCGGAGGGAAAAAAGTATTGGTCAAACATGATTGAATCTGGGATTGATCCATCTTTGGAGCATTATGGTTTGATGGTTGATCTTTTTTGCCGATCAAACTTAATCGAAGATGCCTATTCTTTTGTGGATTCCATGCTAATCCCCCCAAACCCAGCAATACTCCGTAGCTTACTAGTGGGTTGCAAAAAGAAGAAGATGCTAGAAAGAGGCGAAATGACCGCCAAACGCCTCATCGAGATAGAACCACACAATGCCGAGAACTATATCTTGTTGTCTAGCTTATACGCTTCTGTTTCAGATTGGGAGGGAATGAGACAAGTTAGGAAACAAATGAAAGCCAAAGAAATCAAGAATGCTCCGGGTTGTAGCTCCATTGAAGTTGACGGGTTTGTGCACGAATTCACAATAGGTGATTCTTCTCATCCTGAATCTGAGGAGATAAATGGTATCTTAAGCGAAATATCGGATCGCGTAAATGGGTCGGGTCATGAACCGTGGGTTTCTTGTGTACTACATGACGTGAGCGATGAAGAGAAAGAAAATGCACTGTGCCAACACAGTGAGAGGTTGGCTATTGGTTATGGCCTTTTGAAAACGAAAGCACCAAAGATCATTAGGGTGGTAAAGAATCTGAGAGTTTGTAGGGATTGTCATGAAGTGACAAAGATCATTAGTAGGCTGTATAATAGGGAAATCATTGTTAGAGACCGTGTTAGGTTTCACAAGTTTATAGATGGATCTTGCTCTTGTAAAGATTTTTGGTGATCCTTATTGTGGAGGAGAGTATTTGAGCCTTAGTTTGTATGAGTAGTATTATACTATTATTTTGAGATCTTTCCCCCATCCATGAGTCTCGTTCACTCCTTACTAGTCAGTTAGTCTTGTGCAAGGCAAAATTTTAGAAAAGTTATGTGTTTGGAAAAATAAAAAGAAATGAAATTTATTTATTTTCTCGTTTTTCTATTGTTAAAAGTTTTATATCGATGTGTTCTACCATATTGTTTTACATCGGTAATTTAATTAATCCATTTCAATAAGTTCTTGATTTTTTCATATTTGAAAAATTCTTTCACCAGAATTCTAGAAATGTCCCATGAATAGTTAACATTATTTTGTAAGCAATTGTAATATTATTATTATTTTAATTATAGTTATAGTAAATAGTAATAGTGATGTTGGTAGTGATAATAGTAATTATTATATATTATAATTGTAATTATATTATTAGTAGTACTAATGATAGGCATATCAATAATGATATGGTAACTGGTAGCGAGGGAGTGTTACAAGGGTTAGATTCCGAGTTCGAATCCCCGCAACTGCGATGGCCCACTCTATTTATCAGATTGTGATTATAGTCCAATTTACACTCTCCCATCGTACCGTCCGGTCGGTGTTGGGGGACCCTCAAGGATGAGGTGTCATCCTTTTTTTTTCAATAATGATATGGTGATGATGCTCATACTAATAATAACGCATAGTCTAGGACAAAGGATAATACTCCCTCAACTTAAAAATCTTTCCATTTCAAAAGTAGGTAAATTAAGAATAGTGAAAGAGAATATGAGTTATTGAGGGTATGATGGGAAGATAGTAGAATAATGTGATGGAATGTAGGATAAATCCAAAAAAGTAGTTGTAATAGTGTATTATTTTTGGAATTATTGAGGGTATGATGGGAAGATTTAGAAATGAGAAGATTTTTTGTTACGGACGAAAAGAGAAAGTGGAAAGATTTTTAAGTTATAGAGGGAGTATTTTGGAGACCCATAGCTTGGAAAGTGTGGGGCACGAATCCCAGTTGCCTCAAAAACATCTAAGATTGCACCCACCCTCACTTGTGTGCACATCCAATCAATTCAATGGTATTTGTTCGCTAGCATAAGATTATGATTGGTGTATAAGTTTTTCTTTTTGAAAAGGTAAAAAAATGAATGTAGTAAATACTAGTACATCTGAATTCTGATATGATACTATGATATGATACTATGGCTTTGCAACCATGTGTGCTTAAATAAAAGCACTTTTTGATAAAAAGTGATTAGTAGTAAAAGTTGGTAATGTTTAGTAAAATAAGTGTTTTTATGTAATAGAAAAAGTAAAAAGTAGATTCTACACGGAAGCCGATAAAGTAAAAGTTGGTAGTGTTCGATAAAATAAGTGTTTTTTTCTTAAAAAAAAGTCAAAATCACTTTTCTTAAGTGGTTGCAAACAAAGCCTATACGTTAAATGATTAAACTTAATTCAAACCATTAACATTGTAAAATAGTAAGCGAGTTTTACAATAAAAACAAGTCTTCCATAATTGCTTGTGACGTATTCCCTGCCAAAATGATATAGTATCTTATTTTCCCTTTTGTTTATACCAAAACAAAAAATTATTCCCTGCCAAAATTATAATTGCAAAAGTGTACTGTTGCAATTATTCAACTATACTTTTATTTTTAATCACACATATTAGGCAGTGCGTATACGCTGCAACCGGCGTAGCATGAGCATCATGCTCCCGTGTCCAAAACGGCGTCGTTTGAAGCATGCCGTTTCAACTTGAAAAAATCGCGTGTTACTGTTCACGCGCGTGAACAGTAACCTTTTTTTCCCATTGTCCAGGAACAGAATGTGATGTAAGTCATGTGTAACGAAATGTAACTGACGTTATTGATCAATGTAACTCAAGCTTATCCAAAATGTAACTTGTCAAATATTGATTTGAATGTAAACAATGCAAAAAGAGAGTCTAATTGCACAATTGTTTTACGTAAAATGTGAATATGTTTTGTTTGTAGTATCATGGTCATAAAAAATAATTTTTTAAAAAAGATCATTTTTTTGTTTCAATAGCAGGGGTTGAATTTTTAATGTAACTCGTGTTATTACAGATGTAACTCATGTTGATGGCAAATGTAACTTGAGTGTATATAAAATGTAACTTGCTGACATAAGTCAAAATATAACTCACGCTCATGAATGATGTAACTCGTGCCCACATAGATGTAACCACAAGTATTTTCAAGTGTAACTTGAGTCAAGTCAAAATGTAAATTGTCCAATATAGTATAAGATATATATATATATATATATATATATATATATATATATATATATATATATATATATATATATTTGAGCAGAGTTTGGCTTCATCGTGAGCACACTGCTGGACATGAAAGAAGAAGAGATTGACCACTTGATGACCAGCCTGCCTCACATCTATCAGTGGTGAGCCCTATGAATCAAATCTGACATCATAGCTGAGCACCGCCGCCTCAAAGACGAGGAGTTGCGCCGCCGCCACCTCCTCCCAAGCTCGCCGGCGATAGATAGTGTTATGACCTTCTTCGTCGATACTCTCTCCTAACGGCGATTGTCTTTTTTTTAATCTTGGATTGCTGCGCGTTGATTTTTTAATCTTGGGTTGCTGCTGCCTTAAAACTACGTCGTTTGGGAATGGGTGCAGCATCCTCATCATGCGCAGGTCATACGGTATAATTTGCGCATATTAGGAGGCAAAAAACAGAACCAGATAATGCAACTATCCAGAAAACATAAATAAATAAAAACTTGCGCTACTATTAAAGTCTCGCTACCAAGAGCACGAGAATTAGCTTTTTAATTGGTGCAAGGATAGAAACTACTTGCAGAGTTGCATCTATCTGACGGCAAATTATACCGTACAACCGGCATACCATGGGCATGGTATGCCGGTGCCAATACGGTGCCGTTCCATTAATTAAAAACAATCCAAACCATCTTTTCTTCTCCGCCAAGCTATCCTCCTGGGGTCGTCGTCCGCTATAGCTATACCGTTCATTCTCTTTTATCCCCTCCGATCCGCTTCTGTTGCAAGAAGTTAAACGGCGAAAATTCATACGGTTCCAGAAACTTTCGAAGATGGGAATGAATATTTCCAGTGAATTGAAATACATGTCGGTAAATTAAATTTGCTTCCACTAAGTCACCGACTAAGAAAAGTTACATGCTTTGTGTTTTTAATTTTGGGAATGATCATGCTTTTCAATTTCTTGAAGCTTCTTGACCACTGTAAATCAGTATACACAACGAAGCTATGCATTAAAATGATCATTTTGTGCATTTATGAAGATATTATTATCCCTTTAAATTTAACACGAGAGTTACATTTGGTAATATATGAAGTTACATCTTATTATTAGTGAATTACATCTTAATGTACGCGAGTTACACCATGAAATAAACTCTCTTAATGATATATATAATTTTTTTCTTTTATTAAATGTATGTGTGTACATGTATATAAGATGTTTACATTTTAATTTATCTAGAATTACATGTTAATATACGTGAATTACATCTTAATGTACGCGGGTTACACCACTAAATAAACCATGCTAATGATCAACAAATTATTTTTTAACTAAATCAATTTTTTATAGCCCTAATATTAAAAATAATTCAAAACATATTCACTACTTATAAAAAGTATTTGGGAATTAGGATCAATTTTTCATTATTTACATTGAAATCAATGTCTTTCTCCTTACATCAACTTACATATCAACTTGACTTAAGTTACACTTCCTATAAACGTGAGTTACTTTTTTTAAACGAAAGTTACATCACCCTGCTACTGAAACCTAAAAAAAATTATTGTTCATCCGCGGGTACTGTTCATCCGTGTTTTACCCTGGGAGTATGATGCTCATTGTACACCGGTACCACGGTATAAGAACTGCTGACTGACTACTTGCTTGACAAAAATTAAAAATTAAAAATAAAAATAAAAAAATAAATAATCGTCATTACATTATTCACATGGGGACCTAAATGCCACGTAAGATAAAATTGCCAAAAAACAGCCGCAGGACCACACATGAAATTGAAATCTACACAATCTAAAAGAAACTTTATAAGCAGAAAGTGGAATTATAGGTGTCAATATATTTACTACCTGAGCTACAGACCTTTCCCATTTTTTTAGCTTCAAGCAACACAAACACCCTCTAAAAAACACTACTCAATAGCCAACAAACAGTGGTAACAACAAACCAATTTTCTTCTTGTAGACAACAATGGGATTCACACAAAACAATTAAAAATGAATCATCATGAATTTCCAATACAAGAAATAAAAAACAAACTGCTTTCCTTGTACAGCTTCTTTGGTTAAAGATCTCTATTATCCTTCCCAGTTAAACTACCTGTCTTCACCGGTCAAAGATCCATCCTTCATCAATCTCAAGCTGAGATCATTGTATCGTTCTCGCGAATACTGCCTTGATGCCTTCCTCCAATCTGTCCCTGCCTTCATCATTGCAGCAAACTCCTCATAGCTTATACGTCCATCCTGTATATAATGAAACAACAAACTTAGGCTCTGTTAGGTGCCAAAAGTGGCTTAATCTGCTTTTCAGCAGGATGCATACTTCTTTGGCTAAAATGTGTGTTACCATGCGTTTATCCGTCCATTTCATTCCAGCCAAATAACCCTTAGCAAAGGGGCTCTTGGTTATGTTAAAGATAAACACATTCAAGTTCAAAGTCTCTCATAGACTTCAAGATGGGTGGGTCGGGCACGGGCCTGGTCCATTCCTGATTCGATTATTTTAGAAATCAATTATGTTTTTTTTTTATCTTTTTCTCATGTGTATTTTTTTTTATGAATCAACTAAGCTTTGGTTTATCCCGAATTTTGGTCCAGGTTTATGCCATGGGTTGGGAACCTTGGGGTTACTCAACTACACTAGACCATAAGACACTTCAGCCAAACCACACTAAAAGATTGAATCCAATATATTAGCTAGCTCAACACAAAATCTTATCAATTCATCATTGTCTCTATTTTGGTTATTTGTTTTTCATTAGATGTCATATCTGCCTTTTCTTGGTGTCCCAAATAAAACAAACTCACCTTATCAGTATCTACATCTTGCATTATAGCATTAACAACTTCTTCACTGTTTGTATCAATCTCATCAGCTAAGGCATCACGTAACTCCTCAAGCTCTATATACCCACTCTGGTTCTTGTCGAAAAACTCAAATGCTTTCTTCAAGTGCTCCTCATTTCCCAACTTCCTTAGGTGGACAGAAATTGCCACAAACTCCGCACAATCCAGATAACCATCTTTATCAACATCACCCTGCAACAAAGTAAAAATAAGTGAGATAAATGAAGTGGAATTGTGGTTTTTGAAATTAAAATTATTTTTTCATAAACTCCCAACAGCTCCTATGCTTCTAGACATACAAGGAAAGAAAATGGTATTGAAATTTTTTCTTATATTTAATTTAACTTCGAAAAATACAAAGGTAAAATGAAAATGTTTCAGTTTTTTAACATGTATTTAGATGAAATAGTAACAAATGATTTGCAATGACCATAACTGGTACTTCTGTTACAAATCAATAATTACATTTACAATAATAGACAAAAATGTGAACTTTAATATGCAAAGACCATAATTGGTACTTTTGCCACGACCTATATATATTGACCACGGTGATGTTAAATTTTACTATGCAGTGCCTGCTACTATTCTCACACTTACTATACTGAACATGTAGTCATATCTTTGCCAGTGAGTTCTATTTTAGCAACATTATAGGGGTAATCCTTATCTAGATTCTAGATATTTTTAGTATTTATATAATAATACAAAAATCTTGAACAAATAAGAAACATAAATTAATTGAATTGAACAAATTTTTGTTTTCCTCAACATTTCCTTTATATCCAAATATTTCTATAATTTACACTCTATTTTCTTTGCCTATAGTTTTTAAAGTTCCAAACGGACCCTAAGATTAACAAGAGTGAAATAAATATTGGAGGGGAAAATAGTCATTTAGCTATGTTTTACTTTATTGGATTGTGAGATGGCAATTTCTCTAAGCGCAATGGCTTCCGGAAGATACAGTAAGCGAAGGTAAAAAGTTTGTACAGGTATCGTAAGTAACTTACAGCTTCCATAAGGATTTGAAGATCTGAATCAGGGACTTGATGACCCAGTTTCTGCAACCCAACTCTCAACTCATTAACGTCAATCTTCCCCTTGTTGTTTGTATCCATTAATTGGAACCCTTCCTTTATTCCAGCCACTTCTTCCACTGACAGATGTTCCGCTAACACCTACAATGATTAACACCAATTCATAAATTAAACACAGAATCAATGCGAGGTAGTGAATAACAATGTACTTCATATTTTCATAAAGGTACCCTCAGAGCTCTTTTCTTCAGCTTGTTCATCATGGAGAACTGTTTTAGTCTAGCCTTAACAGTTTCACCCAAAGAAACATTAGGAGCCTTCTTTGCGTTTTGTAACCAAGGATGCTCTGAATACATTTATAAAAAAAAATCAGATGGCTTTGATCAGCAAATGCATCATCAAGCAACTAAGCAAGTATCATTGAGCACAATAAATAGAAATGCTACAGGTTCATTTGGGACATGGAAAAATCTAGGGAAAGAAAATGAGGGAAACTATTGGAGAATTTGGAAGGAGAGAAAAGTAGAAGAAATTGAAAAAGGGTTTCAAATACAATAAATTTAGATTTATTATTTGTTTGAACTGATTTTTATTTATTCATTTGTATTATTTAAATGCTAAGAGATCTAAACACACACACATACAATATACATATCTGTAATACATAAAGAAATTTCTTAAACAGGTCTTTTTTCTATTTGAGCCAAATTTATATTTCCTCCACATTCTCTTTCCTTCAAAGTTTCTGCTAAACTTGAGCAGAGGTATGAACATTACCTAATACTTCATTAGCGGTAAGACGCTTGGCGGGGTCAGGGTTGAGCATCTTCTTCACAAGGTCCTTTGCATTGTCAGAAACCATAGGCCATGGGTCTCTCCGGAAATCCACAACCGACCTTATGATTGCTTGAGCAACACCTTGTTCAGTTTCTGCAGAATAGGAAAAGCAAAGTTAATATATGTGAAACAGAAAAACAAATAAAATCCCCCCCCCCCCCCCAAAACAGTAAAGATATTAAAAAAATCCAAGTTTGTTGATGTAAAACGCTAAACCAACCTGCCCAAAAAGGTGGAACGCCACATAGTAAAATATAGAGAATGACACCAGCACTCCACACATCCACTTCTGGACCATAGTTTCTTTTCAGCACCTCCGGAGCCATGTAATATGGGCTTCCCACAATCTCATTAAATCTCTCGCCTGGGAAAAACAATTTCACACAAGTGTAAAGAGAAAAATTAAATGAAAAAAATGCTTCAAGAGGTAATTTGTAATTTACCAGGTTTAAAGAAAATCGAAAGTCCAAAATCAATGGCCTTTAAGGCTGCAGTTTCCTTCTTGTTTGCAAATAAGAAGTTTTCAGGTTTGAGATCGCGATGCATGACACCGTGCTTATGGCACATCTGCAATTCACTGGAGTATTTAATGATTGCTAAACCACAGCATATACTAATAATAGAATATATCATTGTTCAGTTATTATTGAAGTAGACAACAAGTCAACAACAAAACAAAAAGTATTAAGTACCCAAAAAAGTAAATTGCTTATACAAGCTGGTCCGTTACACAGCTGGTCAGTATAAAAGTTGTTATAAATATGAGGCTATGAGCAAATTACAATCTTCATACATCCTATTTTCGACACCAAGGATGCATTTAGTAGCCTTATCCGGCTTATTATGATTATTACCCAACAATGGATGTAACCAACACTTGCTAAACGAATCTAACCAGCTACATCAGAGATAACATAATATACACTACTCCAAAGAAATACAACAAAGAAACACTGCTTATTGTCTTAGATATAGATATAGATTATACTGAGTAGAAAAAATGGGAAAAAGACGTGGAGAAACAAGCACTATTCTTGTAATGAAAGGAGTTATAATCTGCATGATCAGATTCATAGATCTATTGCACGTTGGGTGACCATGTTTTTTGGTTTATCAGTCATCTATTAGATGCTTTACCAAGGCTATTTTCCACGCATTAAATTGGTTAATAATGAAAAAAGTAAGATTTAAGGTACTTTCTTTGCTGAATTTGTTAAAGAACATTTTAGCTTTTCCCATATGCTTTTCTTTACTTTATTACTAAATTCTATTTTAACTTTTTTCATAATTTAGTATATTGGGTCAATTCAGTAATAACATGAGTATTTTTAGTAGATTCAGCAAATTTTAGACTTAACAACAGCCTCCTAAACTAAGCACACAAACTACTATATGAAGATCAAAGGACAACAGAAGAAATGTTTGGAGTCAAGAGTTAAACACTTCACCTGAATAACTTCCACAATGGTGCGAGTAACAACAGCAGCAGCCCTCTCAGTGTAATGTCCCCTCGCGACAATCCGATCGAACAGCTCACCACCCTCACACAACTCCATCACTAAATGGACGGCTTGATCATCCTCATAAGTATCCTTCAAGGTCACAATGTTGGGATGCTTAGGCAAATGCTTCATGATCTCAACCTCCCTCCTGACATCCTCAATATCCACTCTAGTCCTCAACTTCTTCTTGGATATGGACTTACAAGCCAGATGCTCCCCAGTTGACTTATCAATACACAAATATGTAATCCCAAATTCGCCCCGGCCAAGCTCATGCCCTAGATCGTATGTTGCCCCCATGTCGTGGCCTGTAGGGTTTTCCAACACATACGACCTGTTTCCTCCATTTCCAATTGTCGTCTGGTTTCCAGCATAGTCTGCAAATGGGTTTGCTTTTTTCCCCTTCCTCTTATTCGTCTCATCTGAGGTCAGAGGGGCAGCACAACAATTACCCATGAGCCCAAAAATTAGAAATCTTCAAGTTACCAAGAACTTCAAATTTTCCGCTATCAAAATCCCAGCTTTCCCAGATCACTCAATACAAGCAAGACTTCGATCTTTCGACTATAGCTTCTTCAGGACGCAGTTAAAGGGCATAGAGGAGCAATAAACAGAATTGCGGAAAAGCAATTACAAAAAGCTGATTTAACTCACAGTTATCAAGAAAGGGAAAGATGGGGCTTTCAGGAGAAATCTCAGATCTCCATAAATGGGTATGGGGAGGGAAATCAAGATGATTCTCTTGAACTTTTTCTAATTTTTACCGAACACAGAAAGATTGGACGACGGGTGGGTTGATTGGAGGGTTTGGGGATGGATTTAGAGTGTGAAAAAACAGATAGAAATGTTTGACCAGCACATTTGATTGGAGGGACGGTCAAAGCCTTTCCCTTTCTCGGAGACTTCCCTCCAACCTTCTTTTCCCGTCTCTGTGCCTTTCTCCACTCTGAATGTGATATCCGAATTTTTTGGTTAATGTCTTGTTTGGAGAACACCATCCGAGTGCGTGGTCTGAGAGTAATTTCTGCTGTTTTGTTTTTAAAAAAATTGTCTACGGTCAAAAATAGAAAAACAGTAAACCGGATAAAAAGTCAAAACAGAATCAAATGTAAACAACCCGAATTACCCGATGGATCTATTTTTTGGTTCGACTTCGATTTCACACTTTCAACATTAAATCAAATAAATCAAACTAATACAAATACTACATTCGATCCAAAATTGGCTATTTTGACTTTTTTTTTATCAATGATATTAAATAAAGTTATACAATAATTTTAGTTATTATATTTGTGTGTAATTTTTAAATTTTATATTTTTATGAAAGTTTACTAAAGAATATGATCATATAATTTTCTTATTTTAAATATTTTAGTATTAAAAAATATTATTAGCCCCAAACTAGATTACCATTGAGCAATACAAGTTATTGGTCATTAATCCTAGCATAATTCCCCAGCTTTGATTTTTTTGTACACGAAAATTAATGTCAATATCATGAACTATTCGGTAACCCAATCTCATCTGTCAACTTTTACTAAACACATGACTTTAAATTTCGTGTGTTTAACTGTGTAATATTAAGGCTATGTTTGGCACAAAACAGTCCATAGCTTTTAGCTTCTCTATTATTTAAAAAGTCTCTAAAAGACTCTAGTTGTATGTTTGGTCCGTTAACTTATTTGAGAAGTCCGTATCTTTTACGAGACGTTAGGGAGGGTAGCGTTCAGAAGATCTTTTCAGTTTTTTTATGCTTCCTCGTATAACCTTGCGTCCCCACCCCTTCATCTTCTCCGATTTAAAATTTGCTTCACCGTGAATATCCCAAAGTCTGCCATCTGCAGCTACGTTCCAATTTTCTTCATTGTTCTGGGTCTCTTTCTTAAACGCTTCCAGCCATCTATGTTTTTCGCAGATGTGCTTCTTGATTTTTATTGAGTTTTGTTTAACAATTTGTAGCCAAAATTTGTGTGATATTCAAGCTTGGTAAAAATTGTACTCAAAATTGGTTTTGGGTTTGAACTTAATTATTTAATCTACTCCGTATGTTTTTTGGAATTGAAATATATTTTTTGATTTTATTCTTGTATTGAGTATTATCAACAAATACCTTGCCAGCTTTTTGGGTTTTTATTTGATCAATGTCCAGGTTCTATCCATTCATTATAGTGCTGATATTTTAGGGTAATAGTTGTTGTTTTCCCTCATTTTTCCTGCTTCTTTAGTTAAATACTTCAATACAATGGCCGTATGTTGTTGAATTTTTCACTTCTTTGATTATTACTTTTATTTGATCAATGTCCGTGTTTTGTTCATTCATTATAGTGCTGATATTACTAGTTTTCTGTCTTTATTTCTCTGGTTTTCCTTGGGTATTTGTCTATTTTTCACTTCTGTTTTTTCCTCAATTTTTGTTGTAATTATTTTTTGTGCCGTGTTTTTACCAAGTTTTATTGATGTTATCACCTAATATTTTGCTACTTTTAGTTTCATTTTTCTTTTTGTGTGTGTCAGCTGTTTTGTTATTACCATATGGTTCTTTTAGTTGTTTTTATATGTTCCAGTTTTTCCCAGTTTCTTTGTGTACATGTTTTTTGCTTTTTTACCATGTTTTTGTGCAATGCACATCAGCAACTCAAAGCACGAAAAATACTGGTTTTTGCTGTGAAATTAGCTATGTGTGTATTCTATTAGCTCATAAATTAATAATATTTATCATGTCCTTAATTGTAATTCTATAGTTTCAGCTACTTACAATAGCTAGTTTTGCCAAACGTGACTATTTAAAACAGACGACTTTCATTAAACAGCTACGATCTTTTCCGTCTGCAAGCTTTTCAGCTCAAAAAAGCTAACAGTTACTATAAAGTCTAAAAAAGATCTTTTGAGCTTGTCATTCCAAACATAGCCTAATAAAAATAAGTAAGGATGGAGTTATTTTCTGAATTAATTGATTCAAATCTTTGAAAGTGACTACTTTAGCTATATTTTCATATAAGTCGTTCTTTATTTTATTAATAAAATATATTTTAAGTATGTTTGTTCACAATTCAGTAGATTCACCCAATTTTAGTTGTTTAAGCCAGAATTTCATCAATGAATTTCATCAATTTCAACAGATTCAGTCGATTTCTTATTATGATTTTCTTATTCAAAATGCTAAGTTGTTGCATTCATTGTTTAACTCCATTTAAAACTTGGGCTTTTTATTTGGATATTACTAAAATAAAGTCAATTTTCCAAAATGTGACTACTTTTACAAAAGTGCAAAAATGTGACTAGAAAGGTCTTATAATTGAAAAAACATTATGTCACTTTCGAATTTTTTGCCACTGCTAAATTTTTATGTCACTGTCATATGTCATTATCAGATTTTTATGTCACTTTTGAATGTCACTGCCTGTTATTATGTCATTTTCGAATGTCACTGATGATTATTATGTCACTTTCAAGTGTCACTGCGTGTCACATGTCACTATGCCGCCGGAAAATTTTCCGGTGATATTTTCCAGTGAAAATGTGATACAACCTCCGTCGCCGCCACCGACAGTCACCCTCCCCAATCCCTACCATGTCCAACTAATCGTGACAGCAAAAACACCAATACAACCCCACAACCTACCGCCGCCATCTCACCAACTCCGGTCGCTGCAGTAACACTCCGGCCGCCGCTATCTGACCCACCTGGCTGACCGCCACCTTAGATAGCTCATAGCCTAACCTCTTCAGCCCCCAAACCGCCCTCCCCAGCCCCTAGCCCCCCTCCTTAGCCCTCCCTAACTTCCCCTAGCCCAAGTTTTGTCCCAAGCCACCTCAATACCCCCAACCCTAGCCGCTTCCATCTGGATCTATATCACCCGCCCGTGATGCTCCTCGGGTTCTAACGTTGGCGATGATGACAGGAACTATCAGTCTACTCCGTCTGCGAAAGGCGATGAAGAGATGGTCTGGTTGCTCTGTCCGCAGAGGAGCTCCATATCTTTGTGTCTATGTATTGCTCCATCTCCAGAGGAGTTTCATGTCCTTGACCACACCAAGAAAGAAGACGGAAGGCCACTGGGCAAGATGTTGAGCGCAGAAGAAAGAAGTAAAACGGAAGGCCACTCGGTGAGATGTTTTAGCTTTGGTCACTTTTTTCTCAAATAAGAATTTAGTCATATTTTTGTCTACTATTTTTTTCTTTCCCTACTATATTGATCTTCTAAACTTCTACTTAAATTTCTTGCGATGAGTCTTTGGTGTTTACTCCTAATTGCTTTTATTTTTGTATACAACAGCTTTTTATTGGAATAATGTAGTGGTGGGCATAAAAGTCGAACCGAACCAGTACAGAACCGATCCGCAATGGTACTGAACCGAAGATCGGGTATTTAAATGGTTCTATAGAATTTTATCCCGAACCAAAACCGTACCATTTCAAACGGGTAAAAAACCGATTCTAGATTTTGAGAACCGAAAAATACCGAATAGGTTCTGTTGGGTATATTACCCCGGCCCACTACTGTTCAGAGGCTCAAAGCATCGCCCCGACACGGAGCCCAATTGGCGAGGCCCATTAGTGCCTTCTCGGCCCGTTAGGCCCGTTGGCCCATTGAAACCCCTCCCCCATTTCCTATAAATAGGGAGGAGGGCTCCCTTTTGAGGGGATCTGATTTTTGGCTCTCCTCTTCCCCATTACTTCTTCTTCCTAATTCTCTGTAGAATAGCTCAAGCAAGCTCCATTAATGGAGGTTTTGATATTTGTATTATGTAATTGAGTGATGGGAGGATATTAATGAGAAAGAGTGGGCTTAGGCGTTAGCCTAAAAAGTCCTGTGGTTTTCTCCCTTTCCGGGTTTCCACGTAAAAATAGCTAGTTCATACACCTTTTTTATATTTATTCGCTTTTATACCGAAATCATCTTCCTTAATATCCAAAGTTTATGTTGGGCTTCTGGATCTACGGGACAAAACCTCAACATGTTCGTTCAAAAATAATGCTAAAGTTTTAAAAATCATTGGCTGTTAATTTCTAGTAATGTAGTGTGTATGACATTTTGTTGTATCATATTTGTTTAGTTTTACAATTTAATTAATATGGTTTGAATCTTAGCTCCTACGGTTATACTATTAATTAAATTAGAACTAATATTCAACTTAGAACAAAAGAAGAACGTTAAATTTTTCTATTATATTCAACAATTCAACGATATTCTTTTTATATTTTCACATGAATTTAATAAAGATGATATGTATCTAGTGTATCCTCATTTTGCTATATGTTTACTTAATTGTGTTGCATTATTTAAGTATTTGTGTATTTAAATACAAAAATGTCAGCCTCTTTAATCTTTTCTAGTATTTAGTATGCACTTTCTTGTATTTTTATGAAATTTCATGTTAATTGGCGGGTGTCATGATATCTACTAATTGCAAAATTTGTCCAAATGTTTCAACATGTATTGGGCATTGTACCGAACTGTTTTGTACCGTTCCGAAACGACATGATACCGAATGGTTCCACCCTTAGAACTGGACCGTACCATACCGTTGGAAATCTCACAGGTACATTATGGGTTTTGCTAATTTACCTTATTGTTCCAAACCGCGCCCACCCCTAGAATAATGAAGGAAAAAAAGGTCAAATAGGCCTTCGAACTTACATAAAAATGTCAAATAAGCCCTTATATAGGAGGCTTTGTCCGGCCGTCGCCATTTGAGGCAGTTCCCGGTGGAAGTTTTTGATAAAAATTTTTGAGCATCTTATTCATTAAGTCTAGTTTACTCATACCAAATTTCAGCTAACAATTCCATCGGGAAGGCATTCAAATGAATTTTTGAAGATAACTGCGCAGTTATCTTCAAAAATTCATTTGAATGTCTTCCCGATTGAAGTTTTAGCTGAAAAGTGACAGTTTTTGGAACAACTAAAAAGAGAAAGTTGGCACAGTCCAATGGAACGGAGGGAATATTATAATTATGGGGTAAATATATCAAGGGGAAAAAATTGGGGGTGAGGGGGTG